CACAAGAGAAGAACTCTAGTCCCAGACCGTGCCTTTTTCTGAAGGAAGGTGGGCTTGCTCCGAGGGTCTCCACTCCCCGTCTGCAAGCAGCCAGGAGAGCAGGAAGGCCTTGCTCTGTGCTGCCACCCTGCATCCCTCCTCCAGCTTCAGGGCACTGGGGCCTGGGTGGGAGCCAAGGCCTTCCCCTCTGGACTCAAATAAAACCCAGTGACCTCATTTCTTTTCTCTGCAAAAGGTGCTTGGAGGGCTGGGAGTACAGACATTGGTATTTCTGCTGATAACCCTTCTAAGAAAAAAAAAACACTCTCAAATTTTTTTTGACTCATTCTGTCACCCAGGCTCGACTGTGGTGGGGTGATCTCGGATTGCTGCAACCTCAGCCTCCCGGGTTCAAACGATTCTCCTGTCTCAGCCTCCCAAGTAGCTGGCATTACAGGTACCCACCATCATGCCCAGCTAACTTTTGTATTTTTGGTTGAGACGGGGTTTCATCATGTTGGCCAAGCTGGTCTTAAACTCCTGACCTCAGGTGATCCGCCTACCTTGGCCTCCCAAAGTGCTGGGATTCCAGGCATGAGCCACCAGGCCTGGCCTTCAAAATGCTTTTTCTTTTTCTTTTTTTTTTTTTGAGACCGAGTTTTTGCTCTTGTTACCCAGGCTGGAGTGCAATGGTGCGATCTCGGCTCACCGCAACCTCTGCCTCCTGGGTTCAGGCAATTCTCCTGCCTCAGCCTCCTGAGTAGCTGGGATTACAGGCATGCGCCACCATGCCCAGCTAATTTTTTGTATTTTTAGTAGAGATGGGGTTTCACCATGTTGACCAGGATGGTCTCGATCTCTTGACCTTGTGATCCACCCGCCTCAGCCTCCCAAAGTGCTGGGATTACAGGCTTGAGCCACCGTGCCCGGCCCAAAATGCTTTTTCTATTCTATCACACAACAACACAGAAGACAGCTGTGACCAAATGTGTGGGGCTTTTCCCCACACACACCAGGCAAGCAGTTTTGCAGCCGACACCAGCTGGGTGCCCTCCAAAATTCAATTCTGGCACTATTTACCTGGAGATAGCGTCAGAGCCACAGGCTGAGGGCTCAGCCCCCCATTCTGACCCCATTCAGATGCCAATTCCAAGTCCAGGCCTCTGGATCTTTTGGCCTATGGGCTTCAAGATGAGGTTCCCACAGCCCCCTCTTGGAGTTCAATTAATTTGCTAGAGTGGCTCATGGAGCTCAGAGAAATGTTTACCAGTTTCTTATAAAGGATGTTACAAAGGATACAGATGAAGAGATGCTCAGGCCAAGGTATGGGGAATGGGCTCGGAGCTTCCACGCCCTCAACTGATGCATCACCCTCCAGGAACCTCCACGTGTTCCATATCCAGAAGCTTTCTGAACCCTGTCCTTTTGAGTTTCTGTGGAGAATTCATTACATAGGCATGACTGATTAAGCCATTGGCCAATGGTGAACAATTTACCCTCCAGCCTGTCTGCCCTCCCTTGACGAGGGTGGGATGGGGGGCTGAAATCCTGCCTTGGTTTCTCTGGTAACCAGCCCCTGTCCTGAAGCTATCCTAGGGGCTGCCAGCCATCAGTCAATTATTAACACACAAAAATATGTCACTTCGGGGATTTTAAGATTTTAAAAATTATACTCCAGGAAATGAGGTCAAAGACCAAATATATATTTCACAATATTACATCCTTCCTGCAGCAGGCCAAATGTACATCCCTACAAATTCCAGAGGTAAGAGAGAGCCATCAATCGCGTGGTGATGTAGCTGGCCAGGGGTTCACCTTGCCCACAGCCTAGACAGAGCCGATTTCTCAAGATGGGGGCTTTGCAATAAAAAGTAATCCATGCAGAGCTGGCCGTACAGGAGACCAGAGTTTCATTACTCAAATCAGTCTCCCCGACCATTTGGGCAGCAGTTTTTAAAGACAACTTGGATGGCAGGGAAGCCAGTGAGCCAGGAGTGCTGATTGGTCAGGAATGAAATCACAAGGAGTCGGAGCTGTCTCCTTGTGCTGAGTCAGTTCCTAGGTGGGAGCCACAAGATCGATCTGGGCAGTGCCAGCTGATCTATCAAGTGCAGGGTCTGCAAAGTATCTCAAGCACTGATCTTAGGAGCAGTTTAGAGATGGTCAGAATCTTGTAGCCTCCAGCTGCATGACTCCTAAACCATCATTTCTAATGTTGTGGCTAATAGTCCTACAAAGGCCATCTAGTCCCCAGGCGAGAAGGAGATCTGCTTTGAGAAAGGGCTGTTATTGTCTTTTTTTTAAACTATAAAGGAAAAACTAAGTTTCTCCCAAGGTGAGTTCAGCCTTCACACAGGAATGAAGAAGGACAGGTTGGAGGTTAGAAGCAAGATGGAGCTGATTAAATTAGATCTCTTTCACTGCCTCAATCATAATTTTGCAAAGGCAGTTTCAGCGACATCCCAGGTCTTCAGAGCCATCATGAGAAAAGAAAACCAAGGAAAACTGCACACAGGCTGCCTTGTGGCACACCTACTCCAGCCACTCCACGCACGCAGGCCGCCTTGTGGCACACCTACTCCAGCCACTCCACGCACGCAGGCCGCCTTGTGGCACACCTACTCCAGCCACTCCATGCTGTCTGCACCTCCCAGAGCACACAGCTCACTGGGTCTACACTCAGTAGCTGTTCACTTTCCACACTCTGCCTTTGACCCCAGCTGGTATGGTTGGGCCCCAGGTTTTTGACCAGCCAGATTCAACATTTTGGTTCTCAGTGCTGCTTTCCCTGGAAATTCTGGCTGGGGCCTTTTCCTGGCCCTGCCCAGGTCTGGAACCACAGATCGGTGGTACCAGGACTTGCAGTTTCCTTTGTGAGCGTCTCTGATCTGCGCAAGCCCTCAGAGGAAAGACAGAACATTCTAACCCTATTTTTAGAAATACTTTTATAGGCTGGGCATGGTGGCTCACCCCTGTAATCCCAACACTTTGGGAGGCCGAGGCGGATGGATCATGAGGTCAGGAGTAGGAGACCAGCCTGGCCAACATGGTGAAATCCTGTCTCTACTAAAAATACAAAAATTAGCTGGGCGTGGTGGCGGGTGCCTATAATCCCAGGTACTCAGGAGGCCGAGGCAGGACAATAGCTTTAATCCGGGAAGCGGAGGTTGCAGTGAGCCAAGATCATGCCGCTGCACTCCAGCCTGGCAACACAGCGAGACTTTGTCTTAAAAAAAATACTTCTATTTTGCACATGAGCCATGTGTAAGACAATCTGATCCCCCTTTGACAGATGCAGAAACCAAAACTTAGACAACAGAAGAGGTTCGGGCCAAGTCTCAGGTTGAGTAGTAGCAGGCTGGGAGGGGATTCAGACTTAGGGGACAGGGGAGGTAGGCTGCGGGGAGAATGGAGGTGCCTGGGCAGGCCCTGGCCACTTTCCTGGGAGCTGCACTCAGCCCCTTCCATCCTTTACCTGTTCCAGGACCTGCCTGAAGCCCCATCTTCCCTGGCCTTCACTCAGGAGAGAACCCCTAGACACCAGGAGGAGAGTCAGGGCCCAAGAACCCTACTGAGCTGTAGTCGGACCGCGTGTGGAGCCAGGCCTCCATGACGGGGACCTGTGTTTCTGTGGGCTGATTAGAGGCTGCACCAGCTCTGGGTGTGTGGGCCCCTTCCTGCCACTGTGGATCTGGGACCTTGCTCTTCACCTCATTCTCTATGTGTGTTATGTGGTTTGGGTTGAATTGAGTGTCCATGGAGCTGTGTGTGCAAGGGGTGGGGCTTGGTCTCCACAGCCCCCTGGGGAGTTCTGGGAGGATAGGGTGGAGAGGAAAGTGCTGGGAAGTTGCAGAGGCTTCAAACTGGTCCAGCAACTTTGGAATTCTGGGAGCAGGAGCCAAGAGGGAGAGGAGAGGACAGGCGGACAAAGGAAGTGTGGACACCGGACACACAGGCAGACTCAGGGCTGTGACATGAAGCTGCTGCCCAGCTGGAGAGTGATGCTACCCCTGGACCCTTTGGGCAGGGCCTGGCCATGGGCACAACGACTCAGAAGTAGGTGGACCCTAGAGTGCTGGGGCTGGGGCAGCCCAGAGGGGAACAGAATGGGAACCTCAGGCCCAGCCCTCACCAGCTGAGGAGACTAAGCTCTTAGCACCCCCACCCCATGTCCCCCTCTGCCATCCTCAGGCCCTAGGGCCAGGCTAGGCTGGGCCTGAGAGGAGGGGAGACGGCGTGAGCACAGGACTACCTTCCTGGGCTGGGATGGGCAGCCACACAGGGCCCGATGCGTAGAAAGTCCCTATGCTCCATCCAATGCTCTACTGTTGCTGTCTTTAAATTCTTCATACTTTTGGAACAAAGGCCCCACATTCTTACTTTGCACTGGGTCCCAGAAATTATATGGCTGGGAGGGGAAAGGGATCAGTGTCCTGACCCAGGGTGCAGGCCAGGCCGGGCCAGCCTAGGCAGCTCCACCTGCAGGGGCCCATCTGCTGCCTGCCTCAGGGACCCTGAGGGGTGCGTGGTAATGGGGTTAAGGCAGCTCAGACCAACTTGAATTTTAGGATTGATTTCTGCAACCTTGCTATCTGCTTGGCTTGTGTCAAACCACATCTACTGAATCTGTTTCCTCTGCTGTGAAAGGGGTGAATACCACCCAGCACAGGGGCTACTCGGGACAGTGCTTATCCATGTTTCTTGACACAAGGCCATTCCTCAATAACAAGAATGACTGTGATGATGATGATGATAATGATTAATCGGTTACTAAAAAGTGGGGAAGGGGCCAGGTGCGGTAGCTCATGCCTGTAATCCCAGCACTTTGGGAGCCTGAGGTGGGCAGATCACCTGAAGGTCGGGAGTTCGAGACCAGCCTGACCAACATGGAGAAATCCCGACTCTACTAAAAATACAAAATTAGCTGGGTATGGTGGCACATGCCTATAAGCCCAGCTACTTGGGAGGCTGAGGCAGGAGAATTGCTTAAACCCAGGGGGCAGAGGTTGTAGTGAGCGGAGATCGCGCCACTGCACTCCAGCCTGGGCAACAAGAGTGAGATTCTGTCTCAAAAAAATAAAAAAATAAATAAGTGAGGAAGGGCCTTATACAGGGTGTTACATAATAAATGCTGGTTTCCACTCCTTCTTCTCTCCCCTCACCTGGGACCTGGTAAATTTCCGGTCCTCACCCCTCGACTCGACTCTGGCCCTCTCTTGGAAAACAAGAACAGGTCCGGCACCCAGGCACAGATGCAGGCTGGGAAGAACACATGTGTCAGAGGCTTGGGTGGCCTTTACTACTCTAGTGAAAGTTAATAGGTTACCTTTGTATGGGCCCCCCTTTCGCAATCCGGAGCTGGGCATCTGGTTACAGATTTACTTCGAACAATGCCTGATATGTGGAGTAAAGTCCTCCTCCTTGGCCTTCGTAAAGTCATCCCCTCTTCTCCTCAGGAACAACTCAAACCTGTGCCCCAGAGATGAGGGCCCAGGAGGACCCCAAGGGCCGGACACAGGTGCTGGGGACTGGGGGTGGGGTGGTGGGGGTGGGAGGGCCTGTGCAGGTGCAGGCCTTTTCCCCGGAGGCCAGAGATAAATGTTCTGATGAACTCAATAGACTGACTGGCCCAAACTGAATGTGGCAACTGGGGGATGGGTGGAGGTGGGGATAAAGGAGGCGTCAGCTTTGGGACTGGCTGACTCAGGTTGGGGTTCAGGAGGGGCCCAACCTCCCCTCCAGTGACATCCTAAGGATCTCTAGGGGAAAGAAGTGGGACCAGGTTGGGCTTGTCCACAGTCTCGAGCCCTCTCAGCCCCCTCTCCTGTGGTCCCCAAGACTTCTGACTTAGGGGTCCATTTCCCTGGCTAGAATGCCAGGTCCTGAGGGCTCTGGAAGCCGGCACAGTAGACTCATCCCTGCAGGAAGTAATGTGAAGGGGGAGACAACTGTGGCCAGACCGACTGGCAGCCGGGTGGATAGACTGCTGGGGAGGGCAGGGACCCTACTCTCAGTTGCTGAATGGCCACTTGGGCTACCTGATGGATTCCAGGGCAGAATGGATTTTTGCCTGTCCCCATTACTCCACCCTAAGCTACTTCTCTCTGCTGCCCCCAGCATGAATCCACCAGGGACCCCCCGATGCCCCTACCCACAGAGCCCAAGTTTGACATGTTGTATAAGATCGAGGACGTGCCACCTTGGTACCTGTGCATCCTGCTGGGCTTCCAGGTGGGTCCCCAGGGCCTCCCTGCCCTCACCCTGTGCACTTCCCAGGGCCTCCAGCCCCTCCCTGGCCAGCAGGGAGTATCTTGGGTAACAGGAAGAGAAAACAGGTCAGCACAGTGGCTGTCAGCAGGCAGGGCTGGGGAAGAGGTCAGGTTCTGAGAGAAGATGAACTCCCTGGGGGCGTGTGACGCTTTCGAGGTGGAGCGTTGGTGACGGAGAGCAGAGCCCACTCCACAGAAGCCACAGGAGTAACTTGAGCAGAGATTAGTAATTCCAGAGTGGTGAGCACTAGCTCTCTGGGAATCTCTTGTGGGACTGCCAGTACTGGGCGGGCAGTGCAGGTCCAGGCTTGCTGATGCAGATGTGAGGACACTAGGTTGTCCCCTCTCCCTGGAGCTCTGGGGTCCTGCCTTATGCATTCTGCTCCCTCCCTCTGTCCAGCACTACCTGACATGCTTCAGTGGCACCATCGCCGTGCCCTTCCTGCTGGCCGAGGCGCTGTGTGTGGGCCATGACCAACACATGGTCAGTCAGCTCATCGGCACCATCTTCACATGCGTGGGCATCACCACTCTCATCCAGACCACCCTGGGCATCCGGTGAGCTGCCCAGCCCCCCCCCCCACTGTGATCCACACAGCAGGAGCAGGTGGTCTCCCAGAGGATGCCGGTGAGACAAAAAAAGCCACTATCTACATCCACCTGCTTCTCCTATCCCAGGCCAGCCTTAGAGAGAGGCCTTGACCCTGGGCACCTTGATCTAGGTGCACTTCGGAGACCAGGCATCTGCAGATTTAAGGGAATGTGCCCTCATTGGCTCTCCCTTTTTTTTTTTTTTTTGAGTCAGAGCTTAACTCTTGTTGCCTAGGCTGGAGTGCAATGGTGCAATCTCGGCTCACTGCAACCTCAGCCTTGTGGGTTCAAGTGATTCTCCTGCCTCAGCCTCCCGAGTGGCTGGGATTATAGGCATGCACCATGACTCCCAGCTAATTTTGTATTTTTAGTAGAGACAGGGTTTCTCCATGTTTGTCAGGCTGATCTCGAACTCCTGACCTCAGGTGATCCGCCCGTCTTGGCCTCCCAAAGTGCTGGGATTACAGGTGTGAGCCACTGCACCCAGCCGGCTCTCCTCTCTTAAGGCCTATTCTGAATACTGCCCAAATGGCAGCACTGAGCTGGCTCCCAAGGCCAGTGCTGGCCTCTTCAGTAGCCCACCCTCCTGGGGCCCCACGCCCCAAGAGCAAAGCCCTAGGCCTGGTGGCATTTGAGCTGTTTGGGCAGTGGGAGGCAGGGGAAGATGTGTGAGGAGCTTGGATTCGAGAACTGAGCTGGCCACTTCCAGCCATCTGCTCTCTCCTCACAGTGCAGGAGCTGGCAGGAGGAAGGAAAAGGGGCACGTTTTGAGCTGGGGGTTCCATTTGTTTTCTTCCTTGAACCACCAAAATGTTAGAGATGGTCTTCCCTGGGGCCTCAATGACTTCCATGTGCCCTTGTCCCTCGTGTCTCTGTCCCTCTTTCTGTGCCCTCCTTTCCCGATGTCCCTACAACTATATCCCTCCTCCCCACCCTGCCCCACCCCACTCCTACCTCCCCTGTTGCTCTTGCCTCTCCTCCAGGCTGCCTCTGTTCCAGGCCAGTGCCTTTGCATTTCTGGTTCCAGCCAAAGCCATATTGGCTCTGGAGAGATGGAAATGCCCTCCGGAAGGTGGGTACACTTCTGGGGTCTGCACAGGGGAAAAGGGGAGGTCTAGAGACCTGGAGGTCTGAGCCTGTCCTGGGTGCAGACACCGGGTGCAGCCAAGGCAGCATCTTCTCTCCCTATCTGTCTCTGTACCTGGTTCATGTATGTCCTGACTCAACCCCCAGAGGAGATCTACGGTAACTGGAGTCTGCCCCTGAATACCTCTCATATCTGGCACCCACGGATACGGGAGGTGGGTTTGCATGTAAGAGTGGAAGAGGCTGGGTCCTGAGGAGGGGCTATATGGGAGTGAGGGTGGCCGCTGGAGTTTGGGGATTTGAGGAGGTGGTCCAGAAGCTTTGATCCTGCTAGCTGCCAAGTTATGGTGACTTACAGCTGATGTTTGCCCTTCCAGGTCCAGGGTGCAATCATGGTGTCCAGCGTGGTGGAGGTGGTGATTGGCCTGCTGGGGCTGCCTGGGGCCCTGCTCAACTACATTGGGCCTCTCACAGTCACTCCCACTGTCTCCCTCATCGGCCTCTCTGTCTTCCAAGCTGCTGGCGACCGAGCTGGCTCCCACTGGGGCATCTCAGCTTGGTGAGCAGGCACCAGGCCTGATCCCTCCCCAGCTCAGCACCCCACCCTCTTCATGTCCTTCATCCTGGCTCCTGGCCCCAGCCTGGCCTACCATCCACTTCCTGATTGTGCCTCTGCCCCCAGCTCCATTCTCCTGATCATCCTCTTCTCCCAGTACCTGCGCAACCTCACCTTCCTGCTGCCTGTCTACAGCTGGGGCAAGGGCCTCACTGTCCTCCGCATCCAGATCTTCAAAATGTTTCCTGTGAGGACCTGGAAGGTGGCTGGGGCTGGGACAATGGCCAGGACTCTGGCTGAGGTGGGATCTGGTTAGCCTGGACCGACTGAGACCTCCAATGCCTTCAGTGCCCCCTCAACCCCTGCTTCAGATCATGCTGGCCATCATGACCGTATGGCTGCTCTGCTATGTCCTGACCTTGACGGACGTGCTGCCCACAGACCCGAAAGCCTATGGCTTCCAGGCACGAACTGATGCCCGTGGTGATGTCATGGCTATTGCGCCCTGGATCCGAATCCCCTACCCCTGTGAGCAACACCCCTTGGCCCCTCTGCCCCCAACTGAGACCACCTATGAGACAGACCCCTGGTGACCACAATCCAGCAGGTGACACACCTAGCATTAGCTGCACATTTATAATGCGCCCAGTAGAGTGGTGTTTTACTTAGACAAATCTTCAGTTCCACTTCCTGACTCTGAGTGATCCAAATAAGCTCCCACAACTGTTCGGCTCCCATCCCAGTTCAAGGTCCCCTTACCTGCCCTTGCGCCCTCTAGCACTGCGCTATCTATTCCTGACCATCACAGTCTCCTCACTGTAACCACCCTCTTGCCTCCCTCCGGCACAGGTCAGTGGGGCCTGCCCACAGTAACTGCGGCTGCAGTCCTGGGAATGTTCAGCGCCACTCTAGCAGGCATCATTGAGTCCATCGGAGACTACTACGCCTGTGCGCGCCTGGCTGGTGCCCCACCCCCTCCAGTACATGCTATCAACAGGTAGCCTACCTGCCCTCCTCAGTATCTGATCTCCTCAGGACCCCCACAAGGAAGCACACACATGAACGGGGTGGAGGCCTAGGGGGTAGGTTTGGGCAAGTCGGGAACAGGCTCCAGACCTCATTGAGTATGCGATGGGGGTGCCCTCTCATCACCCTCTGTGTGGTTGCTGGGAGTAGCTGAGTAGATGGCAGAGTCCGAAGGGAACCACCGTCATTAACAGCCCTCCTTGTGCCTGGCTCTGGCTGTGCATTCTTATGCAATCTGTGAAGCATTTGTGAGACGGGCACCAGCATTTATCCCCATTTTACAGAGGAGGAAATTGAAGGCCAGACTTGCCCACAGGAGTAGGTGCGGGGGTCGGGGGGGAACACAGGCTGGTGCAGAGGCTGGACCGAGTTTCCGGGACTCACCCTTTCCTTACAGAGGCATCTTCACCGAAGGCATTTGCTGCATCATCGCGGGGCTATTGGGCACGGGCAACGGGTCCACCTCCTCCAGTCCCAACATTGGCGTCCTGGGGATTACCAAGGTGTCGCGAAGAGCCGGAGCAGCGCCAAGTCCCGCCCTAATTCCTTGGGCTGCAGGCCCCGCCCCAACCCTGTCCCAACTTTGGTTTAGCCCCACCCTGTCTTTGAGAGGCCTCGCCCTCGCTTGAAGCCCCAGCCGGTTTTTGCCTCGCTCTTATAACAGATCCCGCCCCCGGAACTAACCCCGCCCCAGCCTCGCCCCCAGGTCTAGCTCCGCCTCTGGCTCCCTGGCAGGTGGGCAGCCGGCGCGTGGTGCAGTACGGTGCAGTTATCATGCTGGTCCTGGGCACTATCGGCAAGTTCACTGCCCTCTTCGCCTCGCTCCCTGACCCCATACTGGGGGGCATGTTCTGCACTCTCTTTGGTGAGTGTCTGGCGCGGGCCCTGGAGGGCGGCGCGGGTCGCCGAGTGGTGGGGACCCGCGTGGACTGCGCGTGCGCGGCGCTCCAGCGGTTCTCTGCGCCCTTAGGCATGATTACAGCTGTGGGGCTGTCCAACCTGCAGTTCGTGGACATGAACTCCTCTCGCAACCTCTTCGTGCTCGGATTTTCCATGTTCTTCGGGCTCACGCTGCCCAATTACCTGGAGTCGAACCCTGGCGCCATCAATACAGGTGCCTCCTGCTGTTTACTGTCTCCAAAGGTGGGGAGGGCCCAAAACTTTGAGCACAGCCTCCTCCCTCAAAGGCTCCACACGGCTAGAATCACAAATCCTACCCAACTCTGGATGTGAATCAAGCTGAGAGGCTGGGTCACAGCTGCCCTTTACTAAGACATTTCCTGTGGACAGATATTGAGCTTTACATGTGCTCATTTAATTTTCAAAACAGCTCTATTTATCTATTGATCTATATTCATTATTTATCCATTATCATTTCAACTTTACGGATAAGGAACATGAGGCTCAGAGAGGTTCAGTGACTTATCCCAAGTCAACAACTGGCAAGCAACTGGCAGAATTGGGATTTGAACCCAGAGATAGGAAAGACAGAGGCAAAGATAGGTTTGAGACAGGGATTTGTACTGTTCCTTTGCCATGGCTGCACAAGAAAAAGTCCCTGAACTCTGATCTCCAGATTGGACAATGACACCCATTGGCCCTTGGCCTATTCCACAGGCATTCTTGAAGTGGATCAGATTCTGACGGTGCTGCTGACCACGGAGATGTTTGTGGGCGGGTGCCTTGCTTTCATACTTGATAACACAGTGCCAGGTATGGTTCCGTCCTGGGAGGGGAAAGAAAAACTAGGCTGAATTCATGTACTCCAACAGATAGCCTCTAAGCTGGAGCTGTGGCTAGGTCCCAGGCGATGCAGGCCTTGCAGGAACAGATAAGCTGGCGGAGTACCCACAGGTTAGAGGGAGAGAGAGAATGAGGCACAGACATGCCTCAGAGGTCTTGAAGAGGATGGAGCCAGGAGAGTTACTGCTGAGTCCTATGAATCCTTTCCTCTCCATTTCTTTCTTTTTTTTGAGACGGAGTTTCGCTCGTTACCCAGGCTGGAGTGCAATGGCGCAATCTCAGCTCACTGCAACCTCCACCTCCTGGGTTCAGGCAATTCTCCTGCCTCAGCCTCCTGAGTAGCTGGAATTACAGGCACGCATCACCATGCCCAGCTAATTTTTTTGTATTTTTTTAGTAGAGACGGGGTTTCACCATGTTGACCAGGATGGTCTCGGTCTCTTGACCTCGTGATCCACCCGCCTCAGCCTCCCAAAGTGCTGGGATTACAGGCATAAGCCACCACACCCGGCCCTTTTTTTCTTTTTGAGACAGAGTCTCACCCTGTTGCCCAGGCTGGAGTAGAGTGGAGCAATCTCAGCTCACTGCAACCTCCTCCTCCCAGGTTCAAGTGATTCTTCTGCCTCAGCCTCCCAAGTGGCAGGGACTACAGGTGCATGCCACCACGCCCAGCTAATTTTTGTAATTTTTAGTAGAGAGGAGGTTTCACCATGTTGGCCGGGCTGATCCTGAACTCCTGACCTCAAGTGATCCGCCTGCCTCGGCCTCCCAAAGTGCTGGAATTACAGGCATGAGGCACTGCACCTGGCCTTTTTTTTTTTTTGAGATGGAGTTTCGCTCTTGTTGCCCAGGCTGGACTACAATGGCACAATCTTGGTCATTGCAACCTCCGCCTCCTGGGTTCAAGCGATTGCCTCTTGTGTAGCTGGGATTACAGGCATGTGGCACTATGCCCTGCTAATTTTGTATTTTTAGTAGAGATGGGGTTTCACCATGTTGGTCAGGCTGGTCTTGAACTTCCAACCTCAGGTGATCCGCCCGGCTTGGCCTTCCAAAGTGCTGGGATTACAGGCGTGAGCCACTGTGCCCAACATCTATTTTCTAACAGCCACCAGGCTGAGGAGTATATTTGCTTTCTTAAGAGCAGGACAGAGATAAATGCAGCATCAGTTTGTTGGCAAAATCCATCCACTCCAAATATGTCACAATGGCGACTAGAAGAGCCACCAACATTTCCCTCTGGTACCAGAGTTTTTTGCAAAGATTGAGGATACTTTGTGGGGCCCACATAAAGGTGCCAGTAAATGTATAAAATAAATGTCACCAGTGCTCTGATAACTAACAGTTAACATTTACCAAACATCTACTATAGGTCAGGTGGAGCGAAGTGTCTTACTTCTCCTCAAAAACTATGACCACGAAGTCACAGTCACAAAATTAAAACATCACAAATCTGGGATATATATTTTAATTGAGACAGGATCTCAGTCTGTCACCCATACTGGAGTGCAGTGGCACAATCATAGCTCACTACAGCCTCAAACTCCTGGGCTTAAGTGACCCTCCTGCCTTAGCCTCCTAAGTAGTTGGGACTACTGGTGCATGCCACCATGCCCAGCTAAGTTTTAAATTTTTGGTAGAGATGGGGGTCTTACATTATTGCCAAGGTTGGTCTCAAACTCCTGAGCTCAAGTGATCCTCCAGCCTCAACATCCCAAAGTACTGGGATTATAGGTGTGAGCCACCATACCTGGTCTCTCCTCTCTCTCTCTCTCTCTCTCTCTCTCTCTCCTCTCTCTCTCTCCCTCTCTCCTCTCTCCCTCTCTCCCTCTTTCCTCTCTCCCTCTCTCCTCTCTCCCTCTCCTCTCTCTCCCTCTCTCTCTCTCCCCCCCCCTCTCCTCTCTGTATATGTATGTGTGTGTGTATATATATATATGTATATATACACTTTTGACGGAGTTTCGCTCTTGTTGCCCAGGCTGGAGTGCGATGGTGCTATCTTGGCTCACAGCAACCTCTGCCTCTCGGGCTCAAGTCATTCTCCTGTCTCAGCCTCCCGAGCAGCTGGGATTACAGGCATGTGCCACCACACCCGGCTAGTTTTGTATTTTTAGTAGAGACAGGGTTGCTCCATGTTGGTCAGGCTGGTCTCGAACTCCCGACCTCAGGTGATCCACCCACCTTGGCCTCCCTCTCCCAAGGAAGGGCAGAGGAGGGCCAGGGTTCCCCATAGGATTTTAGGCAGAATCAAAGGAAGGGTGCTCTTGGTAGCAGCTGTCCTGTGGGTGGATGGGTGGGTATTTGAACATGGTACTCACCCCCCCTTTAAAGGATGCTGAACTGGGGGCTGGAACAGACCATCCTATGGCCCTGAGACAGTCAAGTGGTAGCCTCAATACCTAGGGAATATGAGGAGATGGAGAGCATCTGGGTAGAGGTGCCTGTGTATCAAGAGGCTTGTGACTTGGGTAGCTAGACTGAGTTATCCAGATGTCTTTAAAGACAGCTGCAAACTGCCTGAGTCTCTCACACCCCACCTTTCAACCCATCTGAGCATCATAACTGTCCCTGCCAGGAATCACCCTGTGTGTCATGCCACATAAGCTCAGCAGTATACATTGAGGAACCTAAAGCTCAGAGAGGTTAAGTCACTTGCCTAAGGTCACACAACCTGGATTCATACCAAGGTCTAGCTGTTTCAAAACCACATCCTTAACCATGGAATAGCAAAAGCCTTTCTCGGTCCTTAACAACCTGCTGGGGATGGGCCACTTTGCACTTGCTCTTTCTCTTTACCTATCCATAGCCCAACCTTAGAGGGCAGTCCATTTAATTCAGCAAATGCTGCTAGAGCTTACCAGGTTGGCCTGGAATCACACTGAAGAGGATATTCCAAAAAGTGTTAAGTCAGTAACAATTTGTTTAGAGGAGCTCCTGTCACACAGTAGGTGGTAAAACAGGATTTAAGTGCGCAATGAAGCCAGTGAAGCTGGGCTGGAGTTATTGGCAGGGTTTCCTGATGAGAGAGAGTAGGTGAGGCCTAGGAAAAAGAAGGGGGCTTGGAGAAGCAGAGAAGGCACTGAAGGTCGGGATGTAGTGGGCAGGCTGACTGGTTAGCTAGAGAAAGCTCTGGGCTGGCTGCCATGTGTGTTTTGGCAGTGGTGTAAGGTAATCAGATGCCAGGAACATAGTCCTATGCCAAATCTATGGTTCATCCCACTCTACTCTGCCCACCTGTGTGTGCCCTTTGTACAGCCAAGCCCAGTCAAACAGTGTCTCTTCCAGGTGGTCTTCCCTGAGGACTCTACCTTCCCTCAGTGCCCTCTCCTGTGAGATTCTGGAACATCAGATGGTTTGTGTCACTCATGGGTTTGTTCTTGGCCTGGGCCACCAGCAAGTGAACATCTCCACTCCTTCTGCTATATTTACAGTATTTCAGTCTTTGTCGATCCCAGCCCTCTTACGAAAACCCGAGATCTCATGTGCCCCTCCCTGACCTGAGAAAGAATTCCTAGTTGTAAAAATTATTGGCTGGGCGCAACGGCTCATGCCTGTAATCCCAGGACTTTGGGAGACTAAGATGGGTGGATCACTTGAGGTCAGGAGTTTTGAGACTAGTGCCTGGCCAACATGGTGAAACCCCATCTCTATTAAAAATATAGTAATAAGCCGGTGTGGTGGCATGTGCCTGTAACCCCAGCTACTCGGGAGGCTGAGGCAGGAGAATTGCTTGAACCTGGGAGGTGGAGGTTGCAGTAAGCCGAAATCTCCAGCCTGGGCGACAGAGCAAGACTCTGTCTAAAAAAAAAAAATTATATATATATGTGTGTGTGTGTGTGTGTGTGTGTGTGTGTGTATTTATATATATAAATAAAATTTGGCATATTCCTACCACCATCAAAGATTTTATTTAGCTTGACTTTCTGAAGTTTGTATTGTAAAAATGAGTTTATTTTTCACATACAGAATCATAATACTAAATATTAATACTGATTATAGTGTTTCAAAATATGCTTCCCTTACCCCCAGAACACAATCTGGGCCCAATTTGGTCCCCATGGGCCTAACACACATTAGCCACACACAGATTTAGTCTGACAATTACTTAACCTTTTCGTCCCTTTCTTCATCTTAAACTTTTGTATAATGGTACCTATACACCTCCTAGGGGTATGTTTTGAAGAAACAAGATAATGAAATTAAAACACTTAGCACAGAGCCTGGCACACTGTGGTTACATAATAAATACTAATCATAACGAGTATCTTTTAGTGTTCCTTAGAGTTCTGGCCAAGTTAGGAGCTCAGAAACGATACAGCTGCTTTTTAGGACCAGATGATAGTTAAGGAAGATACTTGATTCCAGAAGTCTGCCTTAGGACTGGGTTATGGGAAGTAGAGGCAGCTGAGGGTTGCTGGCCCTGGTAAATGACCCCATTGTCCTCTTCCAGGGAGCCCAGAAGAGCGTGGTCTGATACAGTGGAAGGCTGGGGCTCATGCCAACAGTGACACATCTTCCAGCCTCAAGAGCTACGATTTCCCCATTGGGATGGGCATAGTAAAAAGAACTGCTTTTCTGAAATATATTCCTATCTGCCCAGTCTTCAAAGGATTTTCAAGTTCAAAAGATCAGTTTCCAATTCCAGAAGACACTCCAGAAAATACAGAAACTGCATCTGTGTGCACCAAGGTCTAAAAAATGACTTCCAGGAAAGGTAGGATGTGTCTATAGTTTTTGTGAGAGGGTTGAATAATCAAAACATTCTTATGCTTTAAATCAAAGAAAAACCAAACTACTAAGTTTCCTTTCCTGCAACCTGTTTGAATGTCCTCAAAGAGATGGTGAACTGGGTAAAAAGTCAATATATGGATTTTGGCTGGAAATCCTTTGCCATTTCATAGTAAGAGCAGAACTTCTCAACTGGCATGGGCCACTAAGAGGCTACAAGTATGCTGAAATGCAGATCCTCTAGTCTTCCATATACCTGGGCAAAATCTGGGCCAACTGGAGTCCTTGAGCTAAGAACTCCAGCCACGGGCAACCTCATTCTTGTACTCCAGTATCTTAAACTAGTATCACTTTGATATGTAACATGGAAAAGGTTGAGAAGTACAGCACAAGAACAGGAAAAATCCTCGCATATACACTGCACCTTATTTCAATAACATCATAAAATTAAAACCCTCTAAAAACAGGATGCCTTTATCCTAAAATGATGTCTGTACAGGCCCTGATGAGGTGATTATTTGTCCTTAGGGCTTCGTAACGCATGGGCAGCTGATGCTCAGAAACCTTCTGTCACTATCTGAATGCAGATGCCTGGCTCTTTAAACACTGACATGGTTTCAAAGTGCATGTTCCCTCAAACAGAAAAGTTCCCAAAAAGAGAGGTTAGCCTAAATGACTCCTCATAGTAAAAATAACAACACTTAAAACAGGACTTTCTATGTGCCAGAGACTGTCTTAAATGCTTATATGTATTAACTACTCACATAATCCAGAGACAGTTATTACTGCCATTTTAGAGATGTGGAAAGGAAGGGTTAAGTGACATGGCCATGATCACAGGATTCACATCCAGGAAGTCTGGCTAGAGCCCCCTTTTCTTTTTAAAAATTTTTCCACAACAAAGGCTACATTTGAGAATCTTTATTCTTGTGAGAGATCACCTGAGGTCAGGAGTTTGAGACCAGTCTGGCCAACACAGCAAAACCCCGTATCTACTAAAAAAATATAAAAATTAGCCAGGCATAGTGGTGCACACCTGTAATCCCAGCTACTAGAGAGGCTGAGGCAGGTGAATTGCTTGAACCTGGGAGGTGAAGGTTGCAATGAAGTGAGATGGCGCCACTGTACTCCAGCCTGATCAACAGAGCGAGGCTCCGTCTCCAAAAACAAACAAAAAACCCACACACTGGGGCACAGGTGCACACACCAAAGAACCCCTCTCCCAGAAGAATGTGAGTCAGAAATGACTACATGGCTTTCTTAATCTTTTTCAACCTAACAAGCTCAAGAAGAGCCCTTGTGAAAAACAAAAGACAATGGAGGTTCTATTAAAGTAAGGTCACCATCATATTGGTCAGTCATAAAGTTTCTTACATGGCTGTCTAGGATTCCTCTGACACTGCAGCCTGAGGTGATTAAGAAGCAAGGATGGGCAATGGATTATTCTACTGCTGTATTCTGAACAGATACCTGCACGGCAACATATCTGTTAGCTGGAAATCTAACAAAGTCTGATCGCTTAGCATTTCTGCCAGCAAGGTAATCCTGAGGCACTGGGCCCATACTAAAGTAACATTACTACAGTACATTCCAGCACCAATAAACACAACCATCTGCTCAGTTCTACTATTATTTATTTTTTTAAATATTTTTGAAAAAATATAATTTTTTTACAATATTTTCAACTTAAACACTATTCACACTGAACACGTATGGCAGCTTAACCTACCCAAATATGAAGTTTAAGAAGCCAAAACTGTTCTAGCTTTGTTAAAAGAAAAGTTGTGCTGCAGACTCTTGTGATGGTTAACAAAGCAAGGAAAAGCACCACTCAAATCATAATGTTACAGTATCTTTGTTCAGCTGGATGATGGGTTGGTATTGGTCATATGTTAGACTCCACACAGGCATAGCTATAATGCAGTGAATCCCTTATGAGTTACAATTCTCAAAGTATATACTTCCTCAGATGTAACATTAGAACACAATAACATATCAAAAAAACCTGGACTGGCACTCAGTCTGCTAACTACCTTGTAGCCTCAGTAATATGACATACCTGTCTATAACAAATTATCTCAAATTAACTAACAGACCTTCAGAAAATGGAGATTCTTTTTGATGGGGACATAATCAAATTTAAGTCTGAACTGAGAAATATGCTTAACAGTTGGAACTCAAATTAAATTTACTGATTTTAAAGTTTAGACACAACTGTTAGTTAATACTAAGGGACAGTTTAGCCTCAAAAAAAGACAATTTAGTAAGGTTTAGGTCTTTTAATTTGGTGCTTGTTCACAACTTGACTGGTGCTTCTTTCCTTGCTGTCTTCACATGAAGCCATGGGGCCAATTCTATTTTCAGTAAATGTTTGACAGCTTTTTACTTAATAACAGTCTCAGCACTTTTATTAAGCATGCAAGACTAACAAAAACTTTGGCAATGCATAAGTGTAACACAGTGACAAGAGAGAGCTTTTACAATTAAGTCTTCTAATACTGCCTTCACAGTGTGGAAATTGTGCTACATCCACCAAAAGAGGGCCCCGTCTACTCAAATATTTTAGTACTTCACCCCAGGAACAAACTCCTTTGCATTTGGATTCAGATTGCTCTTGACCTGGAAAATAAGTATATAAAAAAGCAAGTTCATTAACAGATAGTTTCAGATACTCATTCAACCTAGATCCTTATGCAAAAACACCTTCCAAAGAGTAAGACAAAAGAACTTTAAGACTATACTTAACCCCAAAAAGGAGGAACCAGATGTAACCTATATATCATAACAAATTGCATCAATTTTCTAAAGAGAAGTAGGAATTAAAATTCAGTTTGCTTAAGTGTAATCAGAAATCCAGTAACTTCATATAAATTTTTTTTTTTTTTGAGACGGAGTTTCACTGTTGTTATCCAGACTGGAGTGCAATGGCACGATCTCGGCTCACCACAACCTCCGCCTCCTGGGTTCAAGCAATTCTCCTGCCTCAGCCTCCCGAGTAGCTGAGACTACAGCCGCGCACCACCGTGCCCAGCTAATTTTTGTATTTTTAGTAGAGACAGGTTTTCATCTTGTTGACCAGGATGGTCTCGATCTCTTGACCTCGTGATCCACCCACCTCGGCCTCCCAAAGTGCTGGGATTACAGGCGTGAGCCACTGCGCCCGGCCACTTCATATAAATTAAAGGGCCACTTCATATAAATTAAAGGGCCACTTCATATAAATTAACAGAAGAAGGAATTCTGTTAACTGAATTATGGTATGTAGCTTTCTTTAAACACCTAGATCCTTAAGTACCAAGTGTAATGCTAAACAAGTGTTGAAATTATGATTAAAGTTAGTGGAGTTGATGGATTAATTTTACTTTAGAATCCTCACTAAAGGGCCGGGCGCGGTGGCTCAAGCCTGTAATCCCAGCACTTTGGGAGGCCGAGACGGGTGGATCACGAGGTCGAGAGATCGAGACCATCCTGGTCAACATGGTGAAACCCCGTCTCTACTAAAAATACAAAAAATTAGCTGGGCATGGTGGCGCGTGCCTGTAATCCCAGCTACTCGGGAGGCTGAGGGAGGAGAATTGCCTGAACCCAGGAGGCGGAGGTTGCGGTGAGCCGAGACCATTGCACTCCAGCCTGGGTAACAAGAGAGAAACTCCATCTCAAAAAAAAAAAAAAAAAAGAATCCTCACTAAAAATGTGGAGTTGTTTTTCGACAATTGCCGTCTTCTAATTCCCACAGGAAGCATGGCAAAAAACGGGAAAAGAAAACTACATGGGAAACAAGAAGAACTAAGTCCAAAATCCCAGCTCTACCCCTAACTTCTATGTAAATTCAGATAAGTCACTTTTCTCTGGGATTCCATTTTGTGCATCAGTTAAAAAAAAAAGGGGGCAGGGGAGCAAAGTCTGAGTCTTAAAGACTTATACCAATGTTATGCTATGTCGCTAAATCTTTACTCTCCTAAGTAGACTTGTCAGCATCTAGGAAGAACAGCTAGAAATTTTCCTCTGCGATATTTTAGATTGCAAGTTGATAAAAATAAAAAGAAATGAGGGCAGGTTCCAGGGCCTGAAATGTAGGTATGTTGGCAGGCTTTTACACTGAATCTGACCCTACATCACTTCAAGACTAATGCATAATATTAAATGTCATGTTTGAGAAATAATTTCAGTTTTGTAATTTATACACAGCATTTTCTTTGGACAGGATATACACTCCCTTCCTCCAAGGGAAATACTGTATCTACACTTTAAAAGTGTGAAGTTTAAGGAAAAAAAAGCAGCATTCTTTTTCTCTTTTTTGAGACAGGGACTCATTGCCCATTCTGGAGTGCAGTGTCATAATCGCAGCTCACTATAGCATCGACCTCCTGGGCTCAAGCTATCCTCTAGCCTCTGCCTCCCTAGTAACTGGGACCACAGGCCTGTGACACCACATCCAGCTAACTTAAACTTTTTGTAGAGACAGGGTCTCCTTATGTTGCCCAGGCTGGTCTCAAACTCCTGAGTCAAAGTGATCCTTCCACTTTGGCCTCCCAAAGTGCTGGGATTACAGGCATGAGCCACCACAACATAGTCTTCTTAAATGAACAATCTTTTCAGAGTGACAGAAGAATAAGAATGAAATGAAGTAATACCAAATAGACTGAAAAGAACAAATCATAGTACAGCTTCTGTACTATGGAATTATACAGGGTCCAGATTAAAGTTATACATTACAGGGCAACTGGGATTATTTATGGTGACTAATGTAGCCATAAGTAATCATACCCCCACAGACTGTTCAGATCATACAGCTGCTCAAATGGGTTACCATCGCTTACTGCAACAAAGGCTATACCACAATGTAAATGTCAGGGTTCTCTACACCATCCTTTAGAAGAATGGTTTCAAAATGCCCAATTCAGGCAGGTTGGCTATATAATATATCTTCTGAAGTACTTTAAAAAAAATCAACATGCCCAGACAACTGAGCATGTTGGGATGCAACTAAAGAACTGATTTTTGTATTTAATGCTTCATAGGTAATTACAGGGTACAGATTATAGTTCAGTGGACGCTACCAGTTCTACTCTAGTGGTGATATTTAGTTATCACAATTCCCAAAGAAAACTTTTTATAGCATTAGCAATGAGACACTTAACAAAAAAGGCAAATCTAGGTTTGTGTTTCTTTTCTGCCAAGAGCTTATAAAATTCTTTTTTTTTTTTTTGAGATGGAGTTTCACTCTTGTTACCCAGGGTGGAGTGCAATGGTGCGATCTCAGCTCACCACAACCTCCACCTCCTGGGTTCAAGCAATTCTCCTGCCTCAGCCTCCTGAGTAGCTGGGACTACAGGCGTGCGCCACCATGCCCAGCTAATTTAGTACATGGTTTCACCATGTTGACCAGGATGGTCTTGATCTCTTGACCTTGTGATCCACCTGCCTTGGCCTCCCAAAGTGCTGGGATTATAGGCGTGAGCCACCGCGCCCAGCCGTAAAATTCTTTATTAAACCACAGTTCCAAACAAACTGGGTACCTCAATGAAACCCTGGGTCAGGAAAAGATCTCTGAAATTTTTACCTTTCAGATAAAAATTTGCATATTTCACTGAATGCTTACGTTTTTTTTGAGACGGAGTCTCACTCTGTTACCCAGGCTGGAGTGCAATGGCAACTTCCACCATAACCTCCTCCACCTCCTGGGTTCAAGCAATTCTCCTGCCTCAGCCTCCTGAGTAGCTGGGATTACAGGCACATACCACCATGCCCTGCTAATTTTTGTATTTTTAGTGGAGATGGGGTTTCACCATGTTGGTCAGGCTGGTCTTGAACTCCTGACCTGCTGGCCTCGGCCTCCCAAAGTGCTGGGATTACAGGCATGAGCCACCATGCCCAGCCAAGACAAGATTAAAGAGCAAAACTTCTCCATCAAGCTATTTTTATATGGGCAAGTAACATGGTAATATTGTGTTTTAAAATTATTCATTCTTTAGGACATTTAAGTACCCTAGGGAAATATCAGGACTAAAAGCAGGGGCTAGAAGTCTAAGACTAGCTCCACAGTGTTGCCAGAAGTCACTCTATGTCGTGAGACTGCCTTCATTGAAAAAAGGCAGCACAATTTCTTTTTTTTCTTTTTTGAGACAGAGTCTAGCTCTGCTGCCCACGCTGGAGTGCAATAACATGATCTCAGCTCACTGCAATCCATGCCTCCCAGTTCAAGTGCTTTTCCTGCCTGAGCCTCCTGAGTAGCTGGGATTACAGGCATGCACCACCACAACCAGCTAATTTTTCAGTAGAGATGGGGTTTCACTGTGTTGGCCAGGATGATTTCGAACTCCTGACTTCATGATCCACCTGCCTCGGCCTCCCAAAGTGCTGGGATTACAGGCATGAGCCACCTCACTCAGCTTTTTTTTTTTGAGTCAGACACTCACTCTGTTGCCCAGGCTGGAGTGCAATAGTTTGAACTCCATTCACTGCAACCTCCGCCTCCTGGGTTCAAGTGATTTTCCTGCCTCAGCTTCTCAAGTAGCTGGGATTATAGGCATGTGCCACCACATCCAGCTAATTTTTATGTTTTCAGTAGAGATGGGGTTTCACCATGTCGGCCAGGCTGGTCTTGAACTCCAGACCTCAGGTGATCCACCCACCTCGGCCTCCCAAAGTGCGGGAATTATAAGCATTAGCCACTGGGCCCAGCCAATTTTTGTATTTTTAGTACAGATGGCATTTTGCCATGTTGGCCAGGCTGGTTTAAACTCCTGACCTCAAGTGATCATGTGCCTCGGCCTCCCAAAGTGCGCCGGATTACAGGCATGAGCCACCATGCCCGGCCAGAAGTAGCATAATTTCTGAAGGGGAAAGAGATGCAGAATTCTTAAATAGATGGCAGCTGGCTTTTCGACTTATGCAAAAGATGCACTACATTTTAAAAAGATGAAAATTAACTTTTTACCACAAGATCTTCCAGAGAAGAGCCGTCACTGATAACAAGGTCATTAAACTGGTCTTGGATTTGGTCCATAGTTTGTGGGAGATCTCGAGCTGGAATAAACCATTCATGTTCTTCTTCCTCTTCGAGCATTTCTTGGAAACAGCGTTCAATAAATTCTTCTTCCCATAGCTCCTCTTCTATCTAGATTTATAATAAAGGATAATTTGTAGTAATTATTTATAATAAAGGATAATTTGTAACACACTCAATATATATTACTAGGAATGGCTTAAAATATCTAACTAAACCATTTAAAAGCACAAGGTCATACTTTCTTTTCTGCTTCTGTGCTCAGGAAAAAAAAATGCTTACCATAATGACCTGTGAGGATCTGTTTAGGGTTTTTCTATATTTTTACTTTTATTACAGAACATTCTTTTTTCCATTGAGGGTGGCAGGGAAGAAGTAAAAAGAGATGCTCCTCAAGGAATGCATATCAGAATTACCTGTGATACTTTAAAACTACACAAACCATAATCCAACCCCAAAATGAATAAAACAAAACAACTAAGGGACAGAGTCAGAGAATGAGTAATTAAAAACAACAACAATAAAAAACAAACACCCAATTGATCCTCACAAAAATAAGACTGTTTTACTCTTGAATAACCATCACCAGATGTGGAAAAGTCAAGCTGGCTACTGGTTATTAAAGCCATGATTAGGTGAGGAATTAGAAGATGGGAACAGATTCCAGACATATGCATAAAAGATAACGTTTATCAATGCATGACAGTTCTCTAAACAGAAGAGTGGTATCAAATTTTTCAGGCTGATCACATCAAGGACTGCAAGTGAAAAACAGCATAATTCTGGATCCTAAATCTGTGCCTGTCTTCTCCTGACTCCTGAATTCTCTTGACTTTCATGGTAACACAGCAATCTAACTGGCATAAGGCAGTGGTTTCCAAATCTGATTGCTCATTGAAACCATCTTGGAGCTTTGCAGAAGTTTCCCAGGCTCCACCCTCGTCCTCCTGATTCAAGTTCCCCAGGTTATTTCTGTAAGCAGTTAAGCCTGGTGGTAATCAGCAGCCAAATAAATAGGAGTGGTGGCACATCAATCTACATATTTCATACATAAAGGACAAGACAAAACACTTCAGGGACAAGTACAATCATATTGAGGGCTGGAATGGAATATAAAAAATAACATGTTTGTACAAAAAAACTAACTTGTCTGTTGAATTCTTCTTCATTTTCCATCCACATGTACTCTGCAAATGGATTGTCATCTTCATGAGAATGACCGTTCATAATCACATCTTCATTGATGATGCTTGGGCTAGTACTGCTGCGACTTGGATCTTTCATGATTGATGTTAGTTGTCGTTTTTTACCTTTAAAGAACAATACCACAGTTAATTTATTCATTCAGGTTTTCCTCTTTTTGAGACAAGGTTTCGCTCCATCAACCAGGCTGGAGTGCAGTGATGCGCTGTGGCTCACTATAGCCTCCATCTCTTGCCTCAGCCTCCCAAGTAGCTGGGACTATAGGTGTGCACCATAGCACCTGGCTGAATTTTTTAAATTTTTTGTAGAAACAAGGTCTGTATTACCCAGGCTGGTCTCAAATTTCTGGGCTCAAGTGATCCTCCCACCTCAGCCTCTCAAAGTGCTGGCATTATATGCACAAGCCACCAGGCCCAGCTGATCCTTTCAGTTCTTAGTGAGCACCTGTTTATTATTAGCATGCATCATGAACAGCTGTTAGAGGTAGATGATACATTAAGTTTACATAGTAAGTTGAGCAATTGAAAAGCTTCATATTTTTTTCCCAAATAATTTTAATGTTTAAGAAACAGCTAAGGAGAGCCTAAAACTTTTAATGTTTTCTTTTTTCCTTTTGAGATGGAGTTTTACTCTGTTACCCAGCTGGAGTGCAGTGTGGCACGATCTTGCCTCACTGCAACCTTCACCGCCTGGGTTCAAGTGATTCTCCCACGTCAGCCTCCCAAGTAACTGGGATTATAGGCACATGCTACCATGCCCAGCTAATTTTTTTGTATTTTTAATAGAGACAGGGTTTCACCATGTTGGCCAGGCTGGTCTTGCACTGACCTCAGATGACCTATCTACCTTGGCCTCCCAAAGTGCTGGGATTACAGGAGTGCACCACTGTACCCAGCCACATCTAATGTTTTCTTTTTTCTTTTGCCCACCTGCAACTGTCTTGAGTTATATTTTTTTCTTTTCTTTTTTTCTTTTTTTTGAGACGAAGTTTCGCTCCTGTTACCCAGGCTGGAGTGCAATGGCGCCATCTCGGCTCACCGCAACCTCCACCTCCTGGGTTCAGGCAATTCTCCTGCCTCAGCCTCCTGAGTAGCTGGGATTACAGGCACGCGCCACCATGCCCAGCTAATTTTTTTTGTATTTCTAGTAGAGACGGGGTTTCACCATGTTGACCAGGATGGTCTCGATCTCTTGACCTCGTGATCTACACGCCTCGGCCTCCCAAAGTGCTGGGATTACAGGCTTGAGCCACTGCACCCGGATTATTTTTTTCTTTTTTATTTAATGTTTTCTGATAACAGTAAATAAAGTCCATCAGTTGCTTACATGGACTCTCCAAACCATTCAATTTATATTTTATGTTACATATCACTTGCTTTATAAAACAAGCATGGTCGGCTGGGCACAGTGGCTCACACCTATATTCCCAGCACTTTGGGAGGCCAAAGCAGGCAGATCATTTCAGATCAGGAGTTTGAGACCTGCCTGACCAACAAAGTGAAGCCCTGGCTCTATTAAAAATACAAAAAAATTAGCCAGTCGCAGTGGCGCATGCCTATAGTTCCAGCTACTCAGGAGGCTGAAGTGGGAGAATCACTTGAACCCAGGAGGTGGAGGTTGCAATGAGCTGAGATCACACTCCAGCCTGGGCAACAGAGCAAGACTCCATCTCAAATAAAACAGCCACAAAAAAAACAAGCACGGTCTAGAAGACTGAGTCAAGTGATGAAATGATGAAAAGCAAATTCCATTTTTTAAACTGACTTCAAAAAGTCCAGGGATTGAAAGTGAAAACAGATTTTTAATCACCTCTTAGGTTCCTCGGGTACAGCTCTGGATCTCTCTCTCATAGCCCATTCTCTGTCTGCTTTTTCTCTAGGTCCATGTCAAGTTCTTCCATGTCTGGATTTCTTCACTGTACTGTGAGTTTCAGGCATCTAATAACTTTTTTTTTGAGAGAGGGTCAGACTCTGTTGCCCAGACTGGAGTGCAGTGGCAGGATCTCAGCTCACCACAATCTCTGCCTCCCAGGCTCAAGCGATTCTCCTGCCTCAGCCTCCTGAGTAGCTGGGATTACAGGCACATGCCACTACTGCCCAGCTAATTTTTGTATTTTTAGTAGAGACAGGATTTCACCAAATTGGCCAGGCTGTTCTTGAATTCGTGACCTCAAATGATCCACCTGCCTCCGCCTCCCAAAGTGCTGGGATTACAGACATGAGCTACTGTGCCTGGCCCAATATTTTTTCATCTGAGTAAAAGTAGTATCAATATGAGCTATTGACATCATATTGAGACATCAGGTCTGATGTCTTATACTACTCAATAGCTCATAACATGATCTAACCTGATACATTGCAGACTGAAAATTTGAAAAGCAAGGTTTCACATTCTAAATATTCCAAATCATTAAGTTTGAAATCACTAAAAGCAGTTTACATAAAACAATTTACCTGTACCTAAACTCAAGGAGTATTGTGACTTGTGCCAAAGAAAGGGCTACTAAGGTCTGCTTACTTCAAATTTATCATAATCAAGTAAAACACTAAATCTAAAATCTCCTACTGGAAATACATGTGTATTTTTTTTTCCTTTTGGGATAAGTTTCAGGAAAAGACTAGCTCTATGTGTGTCGCCTGGCCCTTTAAATTAATTTTACGGAACGTAAGTGTAAAATCCATAGCTGTTTATATAATATGACAAATATGAGATACTGACAATAGGATCATAGGGGTGAAAATTTAATTGTTAAGAGGTCCTCAACTAAAAATTACTAAGGAACTTCAGCCCTAGTTGTAGTATGTATGTCTTGGCTCACTCCTGTAATTCCAACATCTTGAGAGGCCAAAGCAAGTGGATCACTTGAGCCAAGGAGTTCGATACCTGGGCAATACAGAGAAACTCCATCTCTACTACAAATACAAAAACTAGTTAGATGTGGTGGTGCACGCCTGTAATCCCAGCTATGTAGGAGGCAGAGGTTAGAGAGGCAAGATCACACCACTGCACTTCAGCCTGGGCGAGGGAGCAAGACTCTTAAGAGAAAAAGAGATGAAAAAAGGAAAGAAAGGCAGGCAGGCAGGCAGGCAGAAACAAGCTGGGTGTGGTGGCTCATGCCTATAATCCCCGTACCTTGGGAGGCCAATGGGTGGATCGCTTGAGCCCAGGAGTTTGAGACCAGCTTGGGCAACATAGCAAAGCATGGTATTATGGTGCATGCCTGCAGTCCCAGCTACTTGGGAGGCCAAGGTAGCAGGCTCTCCTGAGCCTGGGAGGTGGAGATTGCAGTGAGCTGAGATTGTGCTGCTGCACTCCAACCTGGGTGGCAGAGCAAGACCCTGTATTGTACAACAATACAACCAAACAAAAGAAGAAAGGCAGAAATAGACTCAGAGTTATGTGCTAGGGTGTCAGTAGAAAGAAAATATGATTTGTTAGGGAACTGAGGCACTGTAAAAGCAGACAAGACAGAAAAAAAGACAATGAATATCTCTATTATTTTTATTTATCATTAAACTTGGATGAAAAACTACTTTGATAGCAAGTTTTGACTAAATTATTAGTTTCTCTAAAGAAAATAAGAAAATTATGTTTTATTTTGAGACAGAGAGTGCAGTGGCACGATCTCTGCTCACTGCAACCTCCACCTCCTGGGTTCAAGATATTCTTCCTGCCTCAGCCTCCTGTGTAGCTTGGGTTACAGGCATGTCCCACCATGCCTGGCTAATTTTTTTCTATTTTTGATAGAAACAGGGTTTTGCCATGTTGGCCAGGCTGGCATAGAACCCCTGACCTCAGCCTTGGCCTCCCAAAGGGCTGGAATTACAGGCATGAGCCACTGTGCCTGGCTGAAAATTACTCATTGTTATATGCCAGGCTACCAAACTGCTTACTGTTAAAAAAAAATTATATTTTAGCAAATCCTCTAACACTAAGAATAGCTGGGATCAATCCTACCTCCCAACTGGATGGAACTTTGCTTAAATCTGCATCTGAACCTATCATTACATTAGGTACAAATATAAAATGGCTTTGCACTATTTTTCCCAATTTGTATCCTGTCCCAATTTATACCCATAAAATCCTACTTTTCACACCGGGCACGGTGGCACGTTCCTGTAATCCCAGCACTTTGGGAGGCCAAGGTGAGCAGATCACTTGAGGTCAGGAGTTCAAGTCCAGCCTGGCCAACATGGCAAAACCCCATCTCTACAGAAAATACAAAAATTAGCCAGGTGTGGTAGCACATGCTTGTAATCCCAGCTACACAGGAGGCTGAGGGAAGAGAATCACTTAAACCCAGGAGGTAGAGGTTGCAGTGAGCCAAGATCACACCACTGCACTCTCCAGTCTGGGTAACAGAGTGAGATTCAGTCTCAAAAAAAAAAAAAAAAAAAAAAAAGGTCAGGTATAGTGGTGCACGCCTGTGGTCCCACTCAGGAGGCTGAGGTGGGAGGATCACATGAGCCCGAGGTCAAGGCTACAGAGAACCACGATCACACACCACTGTATTCCAGCTTGGGCAACAGAGCAAGACCTTATCTCAGAAACGAATTTACAATTTTAAACTGTTTGATTCACTGGTTTTTACAACACCACAACTACCTAATTCCAGAACATTTTCACCACCCCAAGAAGAAACTCTGTACACGTCTGTAGTCACTCTCCATTTCCCAAGCCCTCCAACTGCAGGCAACCACTAGTCTACTTTCTGTCTCTATAGTATGTATCAGCATTTCATTCCTTTTTATTGCCAAACAACATTCCACTGTATGGAGATACACACTTTGTTTATCCACTCTGATTAATGAATACCTGGGTTGTTTCCACTTTTTGGCTATTATTAATAATGCTGTTATCAGTATTTGTGTACAAGTTTTTATATGAGCATGTTTTCAGTTCTCCTGAATGTATACCTAGAGTGTGTTCTTTCAGTGCTAGTCAGTCTTTTAGTTATACATTTTCAACTGACAGAAAAAAAACGAGCCAAAAAGGTAGCAGACTCCCTCCTTACCACCGGACATAATCCTCACTCCAAATCCTTTTCCCAAAAATAAGCACTGCTAAAGCTGCATATATAT